ACTGTTAAGTAAAAATAGCTAAATGCCATCAAGGTGATTTTATCCAGAATATGGGACTGTGGTTCTATTAGTGTTTAGAACTTGAATTTGTTGATTCAGAGTCAGAATTCTGTGACTCAAGCATAAAGTTACTGGGGTTTTTTTCTGAATAAAGAGTTCATCAAGACCTGGACTTATGCAAGTCCTAAACATCAATTTCTGTGACCTCTTTCAATCAATGAGTTTTGTAAGTATTAAGTTAATAGTTACTTTCAGTCACTTGTTAGGGATAGTCATGGAAGACTATGAAATATTATATATTTGGGGAACTTCAAACTTTCTAGAACTGAATGTTACTTGTACTTAGATTTGTGTGATTCATGACACATGGTTTCCAACCTCAGTTCTACCATGTTTTAGTCTGTAATTGGCCAAGGCACAGAGAATATGAGGCCCAACTCATTCATTCCTAAAATAAGAATAATGTGACATTATCCATAGGTAATTGTGGGAATCCAAAGTGAAATAGTATGTGAACAAAAGTCCAGTAATTACAAAAATTCCTATAAAATAAGTATTAATCATTGTGTAACTGGGATCTTAACAATAACTTGATTCTCCTTAAGAAGTTTATAAATAACTTTATTCACCAATGTGATACAAATACAATGAAATGCTTACTGAACTCAACTTTGTACAAGCATTGCCATTAATATGTAGATGTGTAAGTAATCCACTGGCATATTAACTCATGATGACCAAATGTAGTCTCCTATTACAGTGGCATAATGTGTTGCTGGGCACAGTGGTTCACACCTGTAATCATTGCTACTCAGGAGGTGGAAATCAGGAAGATCACAGTTTAAGAACAGTCCAGGATAAAAAAAAATCATTAACAAGATCCTCATCTTAAACAATGAAAAGACAGGTGTCCTGGTGTACCAGTGTAACCATGAGGATTGTAGTAGAGATTGGTCTGGGCATGAGCACAAGTCCCTACTTGACAAAATAGCAAAAGAAAAAGATCTGGAGACATGACAAGAGTGGTAGAGTGAAAGGCCCTGTGTTCAAACAACAGCACCTCTTAAAAAAAGATTGGCATATTTCTGTGTCCTTCTCTACTGGGAGTCTGTTTGATGTAGTTTCTGTATCCCATCACCTCTGAAAGTGAAGAATTAATTTTAAAAAGGTTATTAATATTCACAATGAAATGAATTTCATGATAAAACATTATGAGGTCATGTCATTTGAAACAACCTGAAAGGGACTTGACATTATTATGTTAAGGGATGTGTGGGGAGCTGACAGGTGTTTTGAATAAGCTACATGTTTGAGTTTGGCACAGCCCCAAACCACACAGAAGGGAGAAAGTATGGTTATGTCCAGTAATTTGCATGCTTGGATTGGCACAGCCTCAGCTGCAGAAGTAGGTAAGATGCAGTACAGCTGTTTTTTTCCTTTAATGTTTACGTTTGGAGAGAAACTGTCATAGGTTCCTCCTATTCCCGAGGATGACATTGTCACACCCCCTCCCCCAAGAAATGCCTCTTCACCTCTTGTTGCTACTGTATATAATAAACTCACTGGAGGTAGAGGTTGCTGGTGTGTCTCCATCAAAGCACCCAGCCTACCTTGCTCCAGCTTTATGCATGTTTTGTCTTCTGTCTCTTGTCTTTTCTACATCTCCTGTCGCCCTCAGTTAGGTTTCTAGGATAAGCTCGTGTGGTGCCTGAGAAGGATGTATGCCAAGCACAGAGAGAGAAATAGTTCATAATCTTACTTGTATGCTACATCAAAAAGTTGAGCTCATAGAAGTTGAGAATAAAATGGTAGTTACCAGAACCTCTGGACGTGAGGAGGGAGGGATGGATCTAGAAAGTTTCAATAAAGGATATGAATTCTGAGTTGGAATAGACTAGGAATTTCTGTTGTTCTATTGCAGAGTAGAGTAAATATCAATAACAGTAATGGAATGAAAAATTCAAAACCCTACAGTAAAGGATTTTGTATTTTTTCACTATAAAAAGTTTAAAATGTATAAGGACTTAGATATGTGTAGCCTGAGCTAACACTACATAATGTGCACTTATATGAAAACATCACAGAATCCCCCATTTATGTATATAATTTTTATGTTGCATGTTTCAGTGAAAATATGTCCAATTTAACTAAAACCCAACTGCTCATACCAGCACTACTTTAAGAACATTGATTCTCTATGGCTAAAATCAAGAAGAATGCAAGATGGCTTTTCCTAACACTCTCATTTAAAACATGATGAAAAAACTAACTAAAGAAAAAACAGAAAAAGGAAAAGTATATATACTTATTTGAAAGAAGTAATAAAACTCATTTTTATGGCTTATATGGTCTTTGCAGAAAATGTCAGAGACAAAACCATCAATAAATGCAGATGAAATAATGGGAAATCTATATGAAGAAACATTATTGTTGTCAATCTTCTTAATTTGATATTGGATAAGTTTAAACCTGATCAAAAGCCAGGCAATTTCTAGTTTAGGTATTAACAATCTGATTGCAACATTTATATTAAAAGCACAAAGCCCACAAGACAACACTGAAAGAGAAGAGGGTCAGAAGATGGATCCCACCTGACCTCATTTTTAGGCTTATTATGTACAAAAGTAATCAGGTCTTTGATATGCTGATGAAAGAAAAGAGAACATAGTGTAATGAACCTTGATAAATCTGACAATTCTCATTGGCATGATTTGTTCAATTCTTAAAACCAAAGCAATGTTTAGACTAGGATTTTCAGATGCATACCATTAATTGATCTATAATTCTTACACTCTATAAGAAGAAAGTTTCATGCAATAGCCCCACCACAGCCAAAGGAAGAAGGACCAGAACAGGGACAACTCATTCTTAAGACATAAAAAAATGCTGCAATTTATAGAAAGCTACAGAGTTTCTTTTATGTAAAATAAGATGGTGTATAAGTCAGGTAGCAAATTCTTATTTATTTTACTGTGGATAAAAGACTTGTGATATCTAGAAACACTCAGATTCTGTACTTTATAAAAACAAATTTATCTGACCTTCATTTTAATCAACTACTGCAGTAATTATTAACCAAGTACATGTTTATCTGAATGTTATTGATTATAGTGGATCACCAAATGTAGAATCATAGTGCACCCTAAGTAAATGTAGATAAACCCTTTTGAACTCTTGCATTGCTTAAAGATGCCAGTGATGAAGGCTCCAGCCTCAGCTACACCAACTGCAGTATATTTGCTCTTGGCTATGGCACTGAATCCCAAAGTCCAATTTCTCAACGCATAAAATGGAAAAAGCATCACTGCAGACAAAGCAAACTTGAGAATTGAAAGGCATAATATGGAGGGGAAAATTCTGTATAAGTTCTTGGAATCTTTTATAAATGACTGATTAAATGTTATATAAGGTGATCTTTAAAAGACTTAATTTTCTAAATTCAGAAAGTTGTGAAATGCCTACACTAGTCAATTTAGAATAAATACGACATTGTCACCAATCCTCTCTCTGGTTAAGCATTGTCAATAGTATTCTAATAACATACATTTTCACAGAGGTATTTGAATCATTATAACTAGATGATGCCCCCAGTTCAGTTCTGCATGCTGTGGTGGTTTTGCAAATTGTGGTGAAACTTTCTTACCACCAAATCATCCATTACAACCACTATGGTACTGCTGTACCCTAGTTTTCTCCTCATTTTGCACTGTTTTAATATTTTATTCATGACAATGACTTAAAAACAGCAACATCTATTCTGCAGTGAGTAGAAAGTGAAGAAGGCATAGTTTTCATTAAGACCTTCCCATGAAATTTCCTGATATTTGATCTATCCTCAATTACACTGACCAAGTTTCAACTCTAGTGATGGGAAGAGGAGACTCCTAAAACTGTTCATCATGAAGTTTTGGTAAAGTTAGAGTATATCAAATGGTGATAAGAGTATCTACCTGTAATTTCAGTACTTACACCCACAAATGTTCTAACACTGACAGTTCTGATTTTCTCTTCAATATTGAGAAAAAAGTAATAATAATGTCTGTCTTCCATGTTGTAGTTATACAATAGTGAAAGATATGCAATTTTACTTAGCTAAGTGAGAACCTGTGTAAATGCCACAATACTCCACCCAGACCAAAAATAAAGGAAAATATAAAATAAATTAAAATTTCTCTACATTTGTGAAGTTAAGTATTTTATATGGATTTCTAACATTGTTATCATAATTATTTGAAGTTCTTAAGTGTATTAAATCAGATTTAAAATTTTCTTATAAAACTTAAGACAGTGAAAATTATATTTCTGAAGTCAATTCATGCTTTAATGGAAAAAGTAGAACAGAAAAGCAGTCATCAAAAGAAAAGATTATCAGAATACTTTCTTAAAATCCTCTCTACCTCATTACACTATGAATAAACATCAAACTTCTGAAAGTTAAAAAAAGAACTTGATGTATATTTGATCATTCAAATATATGAGTCATAACGGATATTTTATAATTCTCAGATTGTATATGCTAAGTATTTAAAAGTTTCCCATTACTGAGAACCCTTATCAAATTATTTCACATAGCAAAGAAACATTTTCAAATACACAACTCATAGAGCATCCAGAATATCCTCAACGTCATGATTTCCCAACCAAAGTTTTATCCTGAAAATGAAGAATTTTTAGTAATCATTTTCTATTAGGTCATTAAATTTACTGTTTCTCAATCATGGCTGCATGTTGGAATCATCTTGGTTTCTTAAACTAGCAATGCTGGGTCATGACCCAAAATACCTAAACCACAACTTCGCATGTGCACTCTGGAAAAGGGGGCAAAAGTAAAGCACACAATTTTTAAATCTCTATCATTGGGACAAAGTTTATTCTGAAGTGTAACTAGCTAATTGGTCACTAAGGCATCAAAGAGTCACACACTGATTACCCAGGGCACATTAAATATTCGGTCAGCAAGTTCATAGTTCCTTCAGTAAGTTTTCATTGAGAAAGCTTCAATGGATACAGTTTCATTACTATTGCTAGGTCTTGCCTGTCTGCTTCTTTCCTTCTGGAGGCAGACCTCTGGGAGAGAGAAGCTTCCTCCTGGCCCAACTCCTCTCCCAATTATTGGAAACATCCTTCAGATTGATGTTAAAGACATTAGCAAGTCCTTAACCAATGTAAGTAGTCTTTGTGTTTCTCTAATATTGATGTGTAAAAGGTGATAAATTGTACCAAGTTTTAAAATCTAAATCAATGTGAAAGGTGCAATGGTATAATAGATTAATGTAAACCAAAATAGTCATTGAATCTTTGATTTACAGGTGATATTTCCAGCTTGTCCTTGTCAGTAATCAAGGAATGAAATAATGTGTTTTGTCAGTGTAAGAATGTTTATGTCATTTTACATTATCATGCAAATTGCAATGTTGCAAAAGTTATTGATGTTTCTTCCTATCTTTGTTTTATAGACATATCCTTAACATTTTTCTTAAGGGCAATGTTAAGGAGGAAGTGTTGTGATGAGATATTTCATTCAATATGTTATTTAGCCTCCTGACCATGCATTTTTATCCAGAATAGCAATTGAAGGTGAACTCTCTGAAACACCAAGTTATGCTTGCTGTCAAGGAAATACCTTTTGATGTAGAACAGAAAAAGGAATGAAAAAAAAGGAAGCAATGACTTAGGGGAAAATTTATGGTCCCAAACAAACATGGATTTGCAAAGTACCTTTGTCTGGGACAAAGAAGGCTACAGATTAAGAAATTGTTTTCATGACAGATGTTTCATGCTCTTGGGATGTCTGTTTGTTTTTCTATATGAGTAGTCTCCACACTGTGTTGGAAATTAGAATCACCTGTGGTGAATTAAAAAATACAGACTAACATTGCCATCACAGTACTATCAGTTTATCCATGTAATAGTTTTACAAATGAACCTGAAGTAGGAATATTGTTATTGAGAAGGATGTAGGAGGATGATAAATTTCACAAGCATCAAATGTTGGATAAGGACAGGTACAAATTTGTATCTTTTATTCATTTTTCATAGTACACTTGAGCAAATTTAGTATACTCTGACCACATCTTCTTTCTTTGCACAACATTGTAAATAAACCCAATGAATATTTTGATGTGTGAATTCATTGTTAGTTGTGTATTAATTGTCTGTATCATTGAATGGCATGTTAAAGAATGTCTTTAAGTGAAATCTATAACAATCATCATCATATTATTCATACACTTGATTTCAAGCTATGTGTGCTAGAATAATGAACCATAAGAAATACAATGATAAAATCAGTCTTAACCAGATTCTGTCTATGAAGCAAGTAATGACTTCTTTTCCTAGTGTTTTCATTTTCCTTCTTATTTTCAGCTCTCAAAATTATATGGGCCTGTGTTCACTTTATATTTTGGCATGAAACCCACTGTGGTGTTGCATGGATATGAAGCAGTGAAAGAAGCTCTGATTGATCATGGAGAGGAGTTCTCTGGAAGAGGCAATTTCTCAGTATCTGAAAGAACTGCTAAAGGCCTTGGTGAGTGTATGTGTGCATGTTGCACATGTGTGTATTTGACATGGAACAAGGTGATGGGAGGATGGAAAAGAGTGTTAAAGTTCTCTCAAACAGTGTTGGGCACCTCTGAGGCTACTATTTTCAGTTTTCTCTACCTTGCTTGGGATTTCCATCCTAATTTTTGCACCCCTTCATTCAGGAATCGTTTTCAGCAATGGAAACAAATGGAAAGAGATGCGTCGTTTCTCTCTCATGACTTTGAGGAACTTCGGGATGGGGAAGAGGAGCATTGAGGATCGTGTTCAAGAGGAAGCCCGCTGCCTTGTGGAGGAGTTGAAGAAAACCAATGGTGAGTCCCACACCATTTCACTAACTTTAAAATATTACTCTAGGTGTGTGGATAAAAGATATCTTGATCTTATTCTGTATCCAAACTTTTCTTTTGTTTTCAAATTGGAGATCATGAATCTAGGCTTTGGATTTATTTTCTGAAGAGTTAAGAGACAAAGCAATGCCATTTCTATTAGAATAATGTGGGTTACCTATTCTAACCATTCTAACAGAGAATACTTACTAAATGAACATAGTCAATGATGCCATGAACTACTGTGGAGCACAAAACAAAATGATATCTACTTTCATTTAATTGAACTATGTTGGTCGTTGCAGCTTCACTAACATGTCTTGGAATTGTGCAATGCCTATGCCTACAGTTTTGGCAAGTCACAGTGTAAAGTAAGGTTTTAATTGCTTTGCTATCTCATAATGTAATTCATATGCATTGTTTTTCTCTAAATATGATCACCATTTTAAAACTGATCATTAATTATTTCTTCTTTTTGCAACACTTTTGCTTTTATTTACATTTTGAGTAAATATATGCTCTAGCATAATATACATATGTAAACAAAATTTATAAACAAAAACTCATGATGCATTTAACAGATTTCAATTATTACTTGTAACACTTTATCTAACCTTTGTTAAGTTTATTCTGGCTTTTTATTAACTTTTGCCTATTATTTTCCCCCATATTCATTGAATTTGTATTAGAAGATATTTGGTAATTATTTTCTGCCCATTGCCAACTCTACACACATATAAAGTGCTTGCTGTAGTGAATCAGCCTATCCACTTGAATTCTAAAGGACTTTGTTTTAGAATTATCTTTTCCAAATAAAGTGAAAGGAAAGATAAAAAATCAGAATTTTTTTCATGAATCACAAATACACACACACACACAGAAACATACACATAAGATTACAAGGAAGTTCCAAATAACTTCAAACCTCCTTGACGAAAATAAAATGTTTTCTGATTGCTAAGAGATCTTTAAAGTTTAAACTGCCAGGCATATAGCCAACCAACTTCAATGAGATTTATATTGTTCAAATATCCAAAATATCTAACTATTTATTCAGAACTCTTTTAATTCAATTCACCTTTATTTGGGGCCTAAAATTTTAAATTAGGGAGCTCCATCTGTATAAAGCATGTTTCTCATTTGACGGTACCAATTTCACAGTAAAGATAGCTCCATAAAAGAAGCATTTTCAGCTTACTCCCTCCACTCTTCCTCAGCATAGATTTGGAATTCCTAGCAATAACACAGAAAGAAGAAATAAAAGGAACACAAATAGGAAAGGAAGAAGTGAAATTACCCTTATTTGCAGATGGCATGATCTTATACATAAAGACCTGAAATACTCCACCAAAAAACTCCTAGACACCATGAACAGCTTCAGTAATGTAGCAGGATACAAAACTAATTTATAAAAATCAGTAGCCATTCTATACACCTATAATTAACAGATTTAGAAAGAATATAGCAAAGCAATCCCATTTATGACAGCCCCCAAAATTAAGATACCAAAGAATTAACTTAACAAGGATATGAAATACCTCTATAAGAGACTATCACCATTGAAGAAAGAAGTTGAAGAAGATTAAAAGTTCTCCCATGCTCATGAATTGGTTGAATCAACATATTAAAAATGGCTATGTCATCAAAAGGAATCTACATGTTCAATGCAATTCCCCTCAAAATCCCAATCACAGAGATTGAAAATAAACCCAAAGGTTCATTTAGAGGCACAAAAAAACCCCACAAATAGCCAAGGCAATGCAGAACAAAAAGAGCACCACTGGAAGTATCACAATACCTGACTTTAAACTATACTACAGAGCTATAACAATAAAAATAGCATGATACTTGCACAAAAAAAGACATGAAGACGACTGGAACAGAATACAATACCCAGATGTGAATTCATGCAACTATGCTGATCTAATTTTTGAGAAAACACCAAAAACATATCATGGAAAAAAGATAGTATCTTCAGCAAACATTGCTGGGAAAACTGCATCTCTTCCTGCAGAAAACTGAAATTAGATACACGTTTGTCTCCTTGTACAAGTACCATCTAGAAGTGGATTAAAGACCTTAATATAAAACCTGAAACGAAGCTAGTCCAGGAAACAGCAGAGTATACACTGGAAATGATAGGCATAGACAATAATTCCCTCAACAGAACACAGATGGGTTAGGATCTAAGAGACAAGATTGACAAATTGGACTACAAGAAATTGGAAAGCTTTTGCACAACAAAAGAAATTATTTCAAAATTGAAGAGAAAATCTGAAAATCTCAGAAGGTAATAATAATCAGTATAGACATGAAGTTCAAAAAACTAAACTCCAAAAAAGTCACTGACCTCCATGAAAAAATGGGCAAATGAACTATGCAGAGACTTTTCAAATGAACAAGTCCAAATGGCTAAAAATCACATGAAAAAATGCTCATCATCCCTGGCCACAATGGAAATGCAAATGAAAACTATATTAAGATTACACCTGACTCCTCTTAGAATGGCTTCCATCAACAAATGGCTTTCCAACAACAAATGTTGGCAAGGATGTAGGGAGAACAGAACTTTCATACACTGCTGGTAAAAAAAAAAAAAAAAAAAAAAACCATGACAGTATTTGATGTCCTCAATGCAAAGGAACTAATGCAGAAACTTTAAAGTGACATAGGTCAATAGGAGAAGGGGTCAGGAACTAGAGAAAATGTCAGTTTGAGAAGAATCAACTTATAATTAACATATTTGTACATGGAAGCAATGGTAAGAATCTCCCCGTATAGCTATCCTTATCTCAACTAGCAAAAATGCTTTGTCTTTCTTATTATTGTTTATACTCTCTCTTCAACAAAATTAGAGATAAGGGCAGAATGGTTTCTGACTGGAAGTGAGGGGTACGGGGGAGAAGTGGTCCAAACATTGTATGCACATATGAATAAACAAAAAACAAAAGAATGTAAACTAGTAACAACCACTATAGAAAACAGTATGGAGGCTCAACAAACTAAAAATAGATTTGCCAGAAGAATAAGCAATAGGATTCCTAGGAATATACCTGAAAGCACATGAGTCAGATTACAATAAAAGCACCTGTAAACCCACATTTATTGCAACCTTACTCGTGATAACTAAATTATGGAAATGGCCAAGATGCCCTACTACTGATGAATGGATTCAGAAATATGGTATTTATATACAATGGAATTTTATTCAGTCACAAAAAAGAATGAAATTTTGTTATTTGTAGGTAAATGGATGGAACTGGAGAATATCATCTTAAATGAAGTTAGTCAGGTTCAGAAGAGCAAAAGCTGCATGTTTTCTCTCATATGTGAAATACAGACCTAATGCAAATATAGAAATACTATGAAAAACAGGTCACGCTAAGGGGAACCCAAATACAAGAGATTAGGTTAAAAGAAGCAAATTAAGAAGGTGAATATGGTTGATCTACTGTCTGTACAAGAAAAATATAGAATTTTTAATCTGGATGAACCCTCCATAAGAAAGGGATTAAGGTAGAATGAAAAAAATAGAGATGAACCAATTTGGAATGTAATACATACACACATGGAAATGTAACAAGTAAACTCCCTCTGTAGCTATCTTAAACAAAACTGCTTTTTATTTCATTTAGAAAAGCAAAGAACAGGAGGGCAGAGCAGGTCTTGGCTGGGTATGTTGGTACCAGTGGGAGAGGGGAGGTGGCAGGGAAAGAGTTTAGGATGCTGAATATACTGTGCACACATATGTAAATGTAAAGATATCTGTTGAAAGTATGCCAGAAATGGGGGAAAAGGGTTAAAGGAGAAAGGTGAAAGGGTTAAATTCAAGTATTATATGTCTGATACACCACCAACAACATGTGTTGGTGAGGATGTGGGGAAAAAGGAACTCTCATAAGCTGCTGGTGGTAATGCAAGCTGGTGCAACCACTCTGGAAAAATATTTGGAGATTTCTTAAAAATCTAAACATAGACCTGCCATATGATCCAGCAATCCCTCTCCTGGGGATATACCCAAAGGAAAGCAACACAAGTTACTCCAGAGGCACCTGCACTCTCATATTTATTGCAGTGCTATTTGCAATAGCCAAGCCACTATTGATGAATGGATCAAGAAAATGTGGTACTTGTACACATGGAGTTTTATTCAGCCATGAAGAAGAATGAAATCTTATCATTTGCAGGTAAATGGATGGAACTGGAGAACATGATTTTGAATGAGGTCAGCCAGGCTCAGAAGACCAAAAATCATATGTTCTCCCTTATATGTGGACTTTAGATCTAGGGCAAATGCAGCAATGTGGTTGGACTCAGATCACATGATAAGGGGAGAACACATTTGGGTGATATAGAAATAGGTAGAAAACCCAAAACATGAAAGCATTTGATGTCCCCACTCCAGAGGAGCTAATACAGAAACCTTTAAACAACAGAGGTTATCATGAGAAGGGGATCAGGAACCAGGGTAAAGATCAGTTAGAGATGGATCAACATGGGTCATAGCACATGTACACGAAAGCAATGCTAGGAATATTTCTGTATAGCTATCCTCAACTCAACTAGCAAAAACGCTTTCTCTTCCTTATTAGGCTTGTCTCTTTTCTTCAACAAAATTAGTGATAAAAGCAGAACAGGACCTGCCTGGAACTGAGGGGGGGAGGGGGCAAGAGGGGAGGGGAGGGAGGCAGGGGGGAGAAATGACCCAAACTATGTATGCACATGTGAATAAACGAATAAATTTTTTAAAATTGCAAGAACTTTTGTAAATCCCACAATGTACCCCTACCCACTACAATAATAATAATAATAATAATAAAACTTTCAGTATTTATTGCAAGAAAAAAAAGAAAACTTCACTAAAATTTCATTTCTTTACCTGAAAAATGGTGGAATGGCCTTATTGAGAGATAAATCTTCAAATGTATTCAAACTCGTTATGCTTCTAATGACTACACAGAACAATATTCCAGAATCCAAGAGGTATAACTTTGTCCAAATAAATTAACTTGAGCTTGATTGGAAGTGATAAAATTTCAATCCTTAGGAGTTAAATTTATCATTTCAAATATATAAATGAGAAAATGTCTCCATTTTTCCTTCCTGTATTTGTTTTTATTACCTTGGATTATATTTGAAATTAAATTTTCTTTACTTAACACATAAAACTCTGTATTATAATTTATTTTATTGGGTAATATTTTTATTTCATAAAACATGAATGTCTTCTGTTTTCTACACTTGTTCCTTTTAATGCTGGAACTCACAATATCTCTAGCTAATTCATCTCCACTGCTAAATCCAAGACTCTTTCAACTGTTCACTATCAAGAAAATGTTTCCAGGTTCTTAGTATTCTCTCTTATTAGCTCATTACTGTATTCACTATAGGATTTGGATATACATTTAATTCTACAAGGAATACTTGAATTAATGGGTTTAAGAAAGTGTTCTTATTTTTTGACATACTTGAATTAATGGGTTTAAGAAAGTGTTCTTTTTTTTTTGACATAGCAGAGACCTAGGACAAAAAGTGTGCAGGTAAGGCAATTGGTATTAACTATAGTTAGAATGGCCAAGTCAGGTTCATTGTAAAAATGATGTTTTCTTTCATTCATGGTGAATATTTGACTTTTAGGGGAATTTTTGGTAAGACAATACTTTAAAATTCTAAATTACCTTTACCTGTTAAAAAGTTAAAGGGTTTTCATATGTACATTTGAATGTATTTTAACATTGTTTACAAATCTTCAGGCTCACCTTGTGATCCGACCCCTGTTCTTGGCTGTGCTCCCTGCAATGTGATCTGCTCCATTATTTTCAAGAATCGTTTTGATTACAAAGACAAGGATTTTCTTAACCTAATGGAAAAATTAAATGAGAACATCAAGATTCTGAGCTCACCATGGACTCAGGTGAATCCAAGATCATTTCTTCCTGAGGAAGTACCTGTGGTCTTCTTTTCTGACAGTAATTGAGGAAGTATTGATGTGAATGTTTGGACACCACAGTCCCACCTAAAGGGTCATGTAGTGAATATCTAAGAAGGCTATCTAAGCACTTTATTTTGTACCCTGGAAAAAAACATGCAAACATAGGGCCTGCTCAAGGATCTTGGCTCACTATGCTTTAGTTTTTCCATTAAATACCAGAGATATTTCTATAAAATTTTTCCTTCATTTTAAGAGCAATGCCAATTCACTCAATGGATATCCAGGACATTTATGAATGCTTCCATTACCCATTGGCTTGTCCTCAAATCAACTGCTCATTTTCATTTGATTTCTGAGGAGATGGGTCCTAATTTAAGAGGAGAATAATTTCCTCAACAGGAAGAAAATTTGAGACAATAAAAGTTACCAGGAATCACCAAGTAGAGATGATTCTTCATCTGTTACCCAAGGTGACAAGGTAACTGGGTTAAGAATAAACAAGCACTGTTTTTTATGGTGTAAAAACTATAAATACCCTCAAAATTTTCTGTGTGCTGAATTGCATATCCCACACTCTGCCTAAATAATAATTGAGTGATCGTAGGAAAGTCACCTAAATGCTCTTACGCAGTTGGATTTAAAGGCATCACTGAGTTTCTCCAACTTTGTATGTATAACACATTTTTTTTTCTCCTTGAGGTACACACCACAGTTCAGTCATATTTCTAGCTATAATATCTAACAGTGTCTATGTTATATCTAATGTGTATATATATATGTTCATTACATGTTTATTTAATAAATTATTGTTTTTTTCTTGTAGATATACAATACATTCCCTGCTCTCATTCATTGTCTTCCAGGAAGTCATAACACATTAACTAAAAATATTGCTTATATAAAAAGTTATGTTTTGGAGAAAGTAGAAGAACATAAAAAATTATTGGATGTTAATAATCCACAGGACTTTATTGATTGTTTCCTGATAAAAATGGAGCAGGTAAAATGTTTACATCACCTTAGATATTTGATTACTTGAGCATTTTGTGAATCATAGACTAGCTCTGTATTTAGTAGAAATATTTAAACTGTCAGTTCAGCAATGCTTTTCAACCCTTTAAGCATTCATAATGTACATCAATCTGTTAAAAAGCACCCTGTAAACATTCTTTGCTTGTTAAGGATCCCCTTAACATATAAAACTGCAACCTTTTTGACAATTCTAATTCATATCATCTTCTCAGTCCTACAAATTATCCTTTGCAAATTTTATAACCTTATGTGCATAGGCAATCTGTCAACAACCTGTTTTAATAATTTGGAATCAGTTCAGTTTTGCAGTCATATTTAGTCCTCCATTTGTTTCCTCTCTAAGTTCCTGGTTGCCTTCTATCTACAGTATAATAGTTTTGGCCAAAGTGGTCATTGTGAAGATATTTTTACTCCCTATGATTAATTCTAGGTTTGTCTGCCTTCTTAGCTTTCACAAAATTTTGAATTCATCATGGGTCTGAAGGAAATAATGAGTCCACTACAGTTGTAATTAGCACACATCAATACTAAAAGTGGGTTTCATTGTAATGATTTTGTAGAAAAAGTTCACCACCTCTATTATGTTTCTACTCCCCCCTTTTCAAACAGTAATTGGTTGATTTCATTATGCTATCTTCATATGAACAGATATACATTCATACACATGTAAAATACTCTATATATGTAACATACTCTATATATGTAACATACTGTATTATATATATGTTAAATACTCTATTCTTTGATATATGTGTAACATACTTTCTATGTATCTATCTATCATCTATGTAACATACTCTATTCTTTTCACTCTCCATTATCCACTCCTTGTCAGAGGTTCAACTTCTCCCCTCCAAAAGTTTGCATTTTAAACTCATGCCCCATAGTTATTATTATTAACAACATCATCATCACCACCACCATCATTATCACCATAATTTTAGGTCTAGAGTCTGCATATAAGAGCAAATGTTATATTTAGCTTTTTTTCCTTGGCTTCTTTCTCTCAACATGAAAATCTTCAGTTAAATCATTTCTACTGTAAATAACATAATTTCATTCTTCTTTATGAACTCCATACTGACTTCCATAGTAACTGGGCCAGTTTATATTCTCACCACCATTGTATGAGGATTTATTTTTCCCTAGCACCTCAGCAGCATTTGTTTCTGTTTAATTTTTGTATGTGATTTTCATTCCAACAGGGGTGAGATGAAATACCATTGATATTTTGATCTATATTTCTTTTATGGCAAAGGATGTGAACATTTCTTCATAAATAGATTAGCGATCTCACCTCTTCTTCCAAGACCTATTTGTTCAATTCATGTGACAATTTATTAAATGGATAATTTGTTCTTTTCATAGATTTTTTAAACCTTTGTATATTCAGTATATTAATCATTTATCTTACAAATAGCTGGCAAAGATTTTCTCCCATATTGTGGGTTGTAGCTTAGTTCTTCTAATTGTTTCTTTTGATGTTCACAAGGATTTTAACTCAATTTGTCATTTCATAGGATCTTAGTTCTTGAATAACTGGAGTCCTTTCTGAAAATAATTGTCTATGCTTACATCTTCCAGAGTTTTCCCTATGTGTTCCTGTAGCAGTTTCATGTTATACATGAAGTTCTTTGATTCATTTTGAATGGATTTTTATGCCTGGAAAGAAACAGAAATACTTTCAATCTTCTTTGTGTAGATAAACAGTTTCCTCAGGACCATATGTTGAACAGGCTGTCTTTTCTCCAGTGCTACTTTTGAGCCTGTGTTCAAAAATCAGATATCTAGAAATGTGTGGGTTCATTCCTAGATCTTCTATTCTGTTTTGTTTGTATTCATGTTTTTTTTTCCTACCAGTACCATGCCGTTTTTTTTACTATACTCTATGGAATAATTTGAAGTCTGGTATTATTATACCTCTAGTATTGTTCCTTTTGCTCAGAATTAATTTTGCTATTCCAGATCTTTTATGTTTCCCTTTAAATTTTAGGATGGAATTTTCTACTTTTGTGAAGAATGACACTGTGGTTTATTTGGGAATTCCATAGATGGTAGATTGTTTTTGGTAGTGTTTTCACTTTTACAATATTAATTCTCCCAACCCATGAACATGGAAAATTGTTCCATCTTATGGTATCTTCTTCACTTTCTATATTCACAGTTTTATGGTTTTCATGGTTGAGATCTTTCACTTCTTCTACATATTTAATTTTTTGAGGTTGTGGTGAATTAAATTATTTTCCTGGTTTGTTTCTCAACTTGTTCATTGTTGGTATAAAAAAAAAAAAACCTCCTGATTTTACTCTGTTAATTTCTTATCTGGGTGCACTGTTGAAATTTAGCAGGTCTAATATTTTTTCTGGAGTCTTCCGGGTCCTTTAGATTTATGAATATATCGTCTGTAATTGAGGATAATTTGATATCCTTCTTCCCTATCTGAATCCCTTTTCTTTCTTTTTTATGCATATTGCACTGGCTAGAATTTCTAGTACTGTATTGAATAATAGTGGGAAGGATAGACAGTCCTGGATTGTTCTTCACTTTAAAATAAATGATTTTTTTTCTCTCTCACTTAATATAGTATTAGCTATAGGTTTACCATATATAGACTTTCTTATATAGAAGTACTTGTCTTCTATTCCTAGTTTCTTTAGAACTTTTATCATGAAAAGATGCTGAATATTGTCAAAGGCTATTTCTGCATCAATTGAGATGATCATGTGGTTTTGTGCTTGGTTCCGCTTATGTGTTCTGTTAAATTTATTGATTTTCATGTATGAATTATCCTTGTATCACAGGAATAAAACTAACTTGTTCTTGTACAATGTTTTTAATATGTTGCTGAAGTCAATTTGAAAGTATTTCTTAGACAATTTTTGTGTCTACGTTTACAAAAATAGTGGTACATAAGCACTCTTTTTGTTGTGTCCTTTTGGGTTTTACTGTCAGGGTAATACTGGCCATAGAATGTGTTTGCTCGCATTCCTTTCTTTAGTATTTTATGGAGTATTTTGAGGAACAGTGGTATTAGTTCTTCTTGAAAGGCTTGCATACATGGTTACACACACCCATATATGAACCCCCTCCCCAAACTATTAATATACACTTAAAAAATGAAGGACAAGAAGGTAAAACAAGTCTACTCTAGGGAAGACATCAGTTGGAGAAGGAGGTAACAACAAGAAAGTAAAGGAGATTATTGTGGTGCATTTATTTTGTATTCATATTTGAAAATAGAGCAATGATACACCTCTTGAAATTGTTCTAAAAAGTTTGGGAGGGAGATGAGGGAGACTCAGTGTGGGGATGAATCTAATTAAGATATGTTATAAACATACATGTAAATATCACAATGTATCCCTCCTGTAAAGCTAGTATATACTAACTAAAAATAGTTTAAAAATAAAGGACTGAGAGAATTTAGCAGTGAATGCAATTGGTTATGGACTCCTCTTTTTTGGGAGACTGTTTATTACTGCTTCAATCATATTGCTTGTTATACATCTGTTTCTGTGGCTTATATCCTCTTGATTCAGTTTTGCACTCAAACATACTGAGGTATTTATCCACTTATTCAGAATTTTCAATGTTATTAAACTATAAGTAATTTGAAACATTCTCTAAAGATCCTCTAGATTTCATTGGTATTTTTTGTGATAGCTAATTTTCATCTGTTATTGTGTTAAATTGGATCTTCTTCATCTTTGTATGTTTGATAAGAGTTTAACAAACATTATTTATCTTTTTAAAGAACCCAGTTTTGGTTCATAATTCTTTGTCTTATTGTTTCCTTTCTTTTTTATTAATTTGCATCCTGACCTTGTTTATTTCTTTAAGCCTACTAATTTCTGCTCTGGCTTGTTCTTATTTTCCAAAGAGCTTAAAGTGCAACATTACCTTTTCTTTAGATCTCCTTGGTTTTGTTTGACTGTATTTTTTGGAGAGTGGGGGCAACACATGGGTTGGAACTCAGGGCCTCACACTTTCTAGTCAGATGCTCTTACTACTTGAGCCATTCTGCTAGACCTTGACTGTTGCTGTAGGTGATCACAACTACACTTTTCTCTTAAAATTTCCTTTGCTGTATCACACAGTTTCTGGTAATATATGTTTCATTTTCGTTAGATTTTAGGAAAAATTTCATTTCCTCCCTTATTTCTTCAATGAACCAGTGATCAATCTACAAGTATTATTAAGTCTCCTTGTATTTCTATGTATATGTCATTTCTTCTGCTGTTGATTTCCAGCTTTACTCCATTCTGTTCTGATTGAACACATAGGGATTGTTTCAATTTTTAAATATTTTTAGACTTGCTTTATATACTAAAATGTGATCTATTTTGGAAAATGTTCCAGAGCCCAAGTAAATTTATGTACAAGTTTTAAATTGCAAGTTCTTTTTGTGGTTTATCAACATCAAGCAAGAGATGACCATAATTTTCAAATTTCTTATTAATTAAGTTTGTATTTGTATTTCTTTGCAAAGAGAAAGCCTAGCTGTCAATGGATTAAACAATACTGGGTTCGTTTACTTCAAATAAAAGCATGCTTATTGTGATACAGTGATGGTATAATACAATGACAACAAAGCATGGAGGATTAAAGCAGGGGGCATCTCTCATTTTTCTTTGCCATATGTAGCACATAGCTCTTCATTTCATGATCAAATCCTCATGTTTCTTGATAATGAACACCCAAACTTGTTCACATCTGAGTTTTGACTGATAGTAATAAAGCAGAAAAAATGATCTTTGTATAATTTTTAAGCAAATATCTTAATACACATAACTACAAAGTTTCAAAAAAGGAAGTTTAAGGGAAGCAAAAATAGTTTGCATCAAATGATGTACAATATCTGTGATATCATGTTAGTTTCTCCTGATGCTTTTCTCTCCAGGTTTTTTGTTGGCTAAATTTATAACATTAAAAGTTATTTTGGATTCATTGCAATTCAATGTTCAGGTATATCATTTATCATATAATTTAATTAAATTATTCTTAGGAAAGACACAATGAACAGTCAATATTTACAGATGAAAACTTGGTAACCACTATACTTGATTTGTTTGGTGCTGGGACAGAGACAACAAGCACAACACTGAGATATGCTTTGCTGCTCCTTATGAAGCATCCACATGTCACAGGTATGACTACAGATGATAAGTGATTACATTTCAGAGAGATATTGGTAAGAAACTAGTACTTGCCCTTCTCTTGTTTGTCTTAGAGGAACTTCACTATTTAACCTTCAGTACCACCATCTGAAATTGGGAAGATTATTGAGAGAAGTGATGATCACATTGTACTCAGAAAAGCAATAACAATCTGGTTCAATATCTGGCTTTCCTTTTTTTTTTGAGAAATTATGGTGTGATAATTGAAGTCTTTTTCCTGTGAATTGTTTTATTTATTTATTTTAAATTTTTGTTATTCATTTTTCACATGTGTGTACACTGTTTAATATCTGGCTTTCATAAGAATTTATTTATGGCAGAAACAGCCAGACAAAGTTGGCAAGAGAGCACATATTTATTTTATCATAAAAAAGACACTTTGAATAGTACATATGTCATAAAGGATACCTTTGTTCATTGTGAATAGTCTGTGGTTGAGGAATGTAAAAGGAAACTCCTTACTGAGAAATAATTGGCAATCATACAATTTATTGAGGGTGACTAAGAAATTCCCATCCTGCAAACGCCTCTAAAAAGCTAGATTAATTAGGTAGGTATTTTTGTTTAGGCACACGTTAATTTTAATGGATTTTCTTATTTCATGAGTCTGTTTACATAAAACATCTGCAAACATCTGATTTTTTTCATGTCAAGCTGGGAATCAAACATTTTTTCATTTTTAAACAACAATAATATAGAAATTGTCCTTTAGCAAGTCTCAGATGTGCATCACATATGAAATGTAACATTTTTGCATCCTGAGTTATGATTTCACTAAAATGACATAAATTTACTTATGAACAGCAAATAGGTTGTTTAAGATAGGAGGAGAAGAGAATATTAAACAATTCACAAATCTTCACCAAATACCTGATCCACACTAAGATATTGAATGGTGACAATTCACTGAGCAGGGAGGATGATGTGGTATGAGGACTATGTACATTGGAAGACAAGTAACCTGTGCCTCTACAATCCATATGAGGATTCTTGGTTGGAAATAATAGATGTCAAACAAACTAGAGAATGAGGACCAAAATAATGTGTTCTTTTTTTAAATGCTTATATTAGCATTTAAGATTTATACAGCAAATTTTATTGTGACAGTTCCATATATACATATATTATACCCTGGTTTGGTTCATCCCCTCCATTATTATCCTTTGTGCCCAATTCTCTTTCTTAAAATAACTTCAACAGGTTTCAATGTTCCATATTCATAAATGTAAAAAATTATAATAGTTATACCCACCCTACTTTACCATCTTCATTTAGCCTCCTACTCTACCCTCCCACTCTCACATGTGCCCTAACCTTAACATGACTTGTTTTACCTTTCGGGCCTTCATTGTTTAAATGTCTGTCCATTATTCACTTGAAAATTAGCCTTGGCATTTTATCTATAAATATATTAAATCAGTCTAATTCCATCCACTATTTTCCTCACTCTTTTCCCCCTACCTTATATTATTCAACATTTTTATTTCCAAGGTTCCCACCACATCTCCACTCATCAGATGACTGATTTTCTCCCACAAGAGCGAAAGGCTCACATTAACAGAACTTGAGCCTGAGAAACACTGTACTCAGAGAGTTTGGACCATGTCAGAAAATTAGTGAGATGTTGGGCTGAAAAGAAAGGTTTAGCAAAGTTTCACTCCTTTAATTTTGACACTCATCACTTTTCTCCTTCTTGTTCCCTAAATTCAGCAGACATATATTTCCAAAGAATTAAGAACTTTAAAGAATTCCCAATATTTTACCATCTTATAGAAGGTTCTCTCAAAGTTCCCATTAAAATGAATGAAATAAACTCACTCTTCAGAGAAAGAGAGTCATAGAGTTTCTCATTATCAGAACTGAATACATAATCATAAACCTTCAGATTGATATATCAATTTATATATTATTATTGTTATTCAAGCTGCACCAGAATTGTCAAAAGTAGCTATTACTTAATATATTAGTTTAAAACAGTGTGGGAGTATGTTTTAATACCTCCATGTTTTCCACAATTTATTCCTCCATTTCCTAGTCTTTAGCAAACACTAGAGAATATGTTGTATCCAACTTGTCTGAAACCAAGTCACAGGAAGTCATGAGATCCAGAAATCAGGAAAGTTCATGTAGGATGTCCAGACTGTCAACAAGGTGGGTGGCACCAGGCCAAGGTACATTAACTTCACAAAAGATTAGCTGAATGTTGCAGGTCTGAGGAGGAAGAGAGAACCACCAACAAAAGAGGGACTATAGATTATTTGAGGCTTCCCAAGCACTGAGAATTTATTCCTATGAGTTTAAAATATCTCTCAATATTGCCATCAAATTATGCACTAGTGGATTATTCCATTCATTAGATCAGGGCACTCATTATGAAATCACCTCTCAATTATGAGCTAAATCTTCATACATGAAGATAGAGAAAATAATTATAGCTCCCATAATAAGAAATCTATAAACACTGTCTAACAACTTGATGAGTAAGGGATTGAGCTGATACCAAGAAAGATGAATAAAACTTCAGAAGCAGTTGCTAGAATATTCCAAGTGGCCACACTTGGGAAGTTCTCCATTGCAGATTGCTTGCTTTCTCACACATGCAAACACACACACACACAAATCATATGTTAGTAAATATCCATTATAATTATAAATCCCAAGTATTATTTTGTTATAAAATTACTATATGATTCCTGTTTGTCTTTCAACAAGGACTGTGATTTCTTCCCAGAGGTGTGCTTATTTTGTGAAACATTTAATTCCATGTATATTAGTTATTAAAAATGCTATATTATAGCCATATGTCTAATTTTATGTGTCTAAGTGTACCTCTGGTATAATTTATATTTATACTACTGCTCATCATACTTCATGCATCCCTGAATTATTATGAACATTTCTCTCTTTTTCCATAATTTTCTACTTGTGTATCATCAGCCAAAATTCAGGAAGAGATTGACCACGTAGTCGGAAAACAAAGGAGTCCTTCCATGCAGGACAGGAGTCACATGCCCTACACAGATGCTGTGTTGCATGAGATCCAGAGATACATTAACCTCCTTCCCACCAACCTGCCGCATTCAGTGACCTGTGATACTAAATTCAGAAACTATCTTATTCCAAAGGTATGATTAGTTTTTCTATGATGCAACTCAATGGTCTTGATGTTCCCAGATTCACAGTAGAGTTCTCGTCTCTTCTTTTTTTTTTTTTATTGTTGTGCTAACAGGGGATACATTGTGGCATTTGCAAAAGTTCTTACAACACAACAAATATCCCATACTTGAATTCACTATTTCTACCATTGTCCTTTATTCCCCCCTCCCCCATTCCTGGAACAGTTTCAACAGGTATCAGTTTTTTATTTTTATACAAGTTTACACAGACTTTGCATATATTCACTCTCCCACAATCATTCCCCACCTCTTCAGCCCTCCCATGGGTACCAGCCCCTCAAATCAGGACATGTTCTGCCCTTCTGTCCTCTGGTTTTCTAAAAAAAAAAAATGACATTTTTGCTTAAGACAGCTGCACAGGGCATTTCCTTTTGACATTACTATGTATATAGGTATTATAAATCAGATTGGTTCATCTCCTTTTTTCTCCTTTTGACCTCAGTCCCCTTCATATGGTGCTTTCAAAAGGATTAAAAAGTCTATATGCATTCTGTTATAGAGAGTACATCAACAATTTTCACCTCCTTAGCATCCTCCTTTTAAACTTCCCCTCTCATATGTAATCTCCTCTTAATATCACCTGTTTTCACAATATTGCTGTTTTTGTTTTAGGTCAGTATTCCACAGATGAGAGAAAATATGTGGCTTTTGACATTCTGAACTTGACAAAATTTCATACTTTTTTGTGGATGAATAAAATTCCATTGTACACAAATTCTACATTTTCCAAATCCATTCATCAGTAGTGTGGCAACTTGGCTGTTTCCATAATACTGCAATGAACTTGGATCGCAGGTGCCTTTATTCCTCCAGGCATATTCCTGGGAGTGGAATTTCTGTATCATATGGCAGTTCTGTTTTTAGTTTTTTGAGGAGCCTCAATATTGTTTTCCATAGTGTTTGTACTAATTTACATTCTTACCAGCAGTGTATGAGGGTTTTTTGTGTTCTTGATGGTAGCGATTTTAACAGAAATAAGGTATAATCTTAATTTGGTTTTAATTTCCATTTATTTTATGGCCAGGTACATTAAGACTTTTTCCATCTTCTGCCAATTTAATGAAGTACAAAAATCTTTGATGTTGGACCTTGACTTTGTTGTTTCTAGTTCAGGGATGTAAATCTTTATGAATTTTGTTGGTATCTGGCAGTGTGAGCATTTGAGTTTTGCCTCTACTGAGCTCATAACCATTAATCCTTCTGGTGTTGGCTCATGCCAGAATGGTGTCTTTTTAGACTAGAGGACAACAATGATCTGTTCTTACCATTCTTCATAGAACTTCCTAGAAAAAATCAAAACTACATGAATGAATTTACCCTCATTCAAATGGGATATCTCATATTTGAAGGCTCGGACTAGAGGCAGTCATCCCAGTATATGTAATAGGTTAAGATACCACCTGACAAATTTTGCCTTTAAATTGACCTGATAGTCCATATTTCAGACTTTGCAAACTACAAGGATTTTGTTGCCACGTGTGAACTCTTTCATTACAGGGTGTAAATAGTCATTGATAATGTGTAAACAAATGAAGAAAGATGTGTTCTCTATTTATTAAAAATGAAACAAATTTCATAAAACTTACACATATAAGTATACTTCATTTTATTTTTATATCATGAACACTTTTTTACCTCAGGGTAGCTTATTAAACAAATTTTTAAAAAATTTTTTTTATTGTTGTGCTGGGTGGGAATACATTGTGGCATTTACAAAAGTTTTTACAATGTATCAAATATATCATACTTGAGTTCACCCTCCACCATTCTACTTTATCTGCTCCCTACCAATCTTCCATTCCTGGAACAGTTTTTAAAGTAGTTGACACCTTATAGAACATTTTCCTGTCATTACATTCTTCTGAAATAACATAAAGTTAATCTGTGTGTTTGTGCCCTATCTAAAGAAAATTGGCCAGAACCAGGTCACAAATATCCCATGTTATTTTCTAAAATTTTCTTGATTTATATCTTAGACATATGTCATGACAATTTCAACCTCACTTTTGTTTATATGAGAACTCAGGTGATGCTTCATAAATAGTACTGAATTTACACTTTGTTAAATAATATTCACTGGAATTACATATTTTGTACATTAATGAAACATTTTCATAAATTTCTATAGTATATAGTGTCAAGGGAATATGTTTATAAACAAATTATATGATAAACTATATTTTTTCCTTACTGGTATCTTTACAAACTTGAAATAAAATAAAATTAAAGTATTATGTAGCTAATTTTATATATGTTCATCAGTCTGCTCCCTGTCTTGAGCATGTATGTCCTAAGCACAAGGATTATTCTCCTATTTAATAGTAATGGCATTCATGCTTAGGAGTTCTCATTGATAGAATATCATCCAATCAACAGTCTGTATTTAATTTATGTAATATTTATAAATGTTTTTAGAGATTTTGTCATCTTTTAAGTCATTACCTACTTAAAGAAGTTAAAGAACAGGCACATAATGTGGATATCTTTATTTTTATTCATTTATTTTTGAAATGGTATATATATATGTGTACATATATATATATATATATAAAACATATATATTCCAGGCTAGACTCCTTTGATAATCTTCTTGCTTTGGGCACATAGAACAAAATTATGTGACAATGTGACAACTCAACTAATGCAGATATATTTTCTGTTTAGTGTACTATAATCAGGTAATCAGGAACAATTCACTTTTCTTTGTATGTTTCCTCTCAGTATATTACCTTTTCTGAAGAATTAAGCCAACACCATTTGAAATATTTCACCAAGGTGGTCTGTGTCACTGCTTCCTATACATTAGATTACAAGCATAATTTTGTAAGCAAATTACAAAGGAGCTATATGTATGACACTTAATCACATTGGTGAGGTTGGGACACTAATTATACTTGTGCCAATATTGATTAAGGTAATTTTCTTCTTCAGTAAGGTGCAACATCAGGTCACTGTAGCAATACTTTGGCTTTTGTATGTAATAAATGCAAATCTGTGGTATGGTACATTACAACTGTTTCAATTCCTGTTTTCTAAAATACCCTTCCAACTATTTTCATTTCAATTGATGATCCTTGCCTGAACTGATGATCCTGACCTACAGGATTATAAAGTGAATATATTCTGATTTCTGATTTTTGGTTATGTCCAATTAGATGGAAATATACTAACTCTTCTTCATTATAAAATTAATATGAACAGTATTGCAATTGTAAATGTTAAATAGTTTTATAATTCTTTTAGATTTTACACATTTCAGAAGAATACACTATTAAATATATCAAGTGTTCTTGTATAAAAGTACTATGAACAGATACTCTGGACATTTCAAATGGAACAGACCTTCAAATGGAATCTTCTATCTGAAAATATAATACCTATGATTTGTACAGAAACAGAAATGATGAACTAGAGCAGTAGTTGAGAGCAAACATCAGCGTCAAAGCTTGAAGTTCAGAAAAGAGATTTTGTGGCAGACACAAAATATTTAGGACGTCAAATGATGTTAGAGGGAATTCTAACAAGACAAGAGCCAATAGCCACAGACTCCTCTTGTTTAGTACATGGTCTGTCTCACTGGATATGTCACTATTTCTTTTTGTACTTCAGTTCAAAATATTGAACTAAATGAATTCCACTGTAACACTTGGCTCTACGACTTCCTTATAATTTGAATTATCTCTGTGTCTTGTTTCTAGGGCACAATCATATTAACATCACTGACTTCTGTGCTTAATGACAACAAGGAATTCCCCAACCCAGACATGTTTGACCCTGGTCACTTTCTGGATGAGAGTGGCAACTTCAAGAAAAGTGACTATTTCATGCCTTTCTCATCAGGTAATAGGAATGCATAGCATTTGGTCTTCAGGGGGATCTTTTGGGTATCAGTTGTAACTTTCATATTTCCACCTCTGAGGTACCAGATTTGCTTTCTGTTCATAAGCAAGAGCACCACTCCAAAATCACATGCACTTTGCTGCTCATAGCACATCCTCCTTATTTGTCTAGATTAAAGAATTTAGTTTGCTAATAATTTCTTCTGAATTGGGAAATCTAAAGGGTAGTTTGTTAGCATTCTTCTTGTTCATACCTCATATATGTATTATAGATCACCTCCTAGAATGTAAAACTAATAAACCTTCTTTCCCCACTATAAAAATACTGATATTACCCCATACCTGCGTTGAGTATCTTCTGTGATGTGATGCCCATCTCACCCCCTAGAGCCAATTTTGTAGATACAAGTCTCCAAAAACACAGAACAATACCAAAGGGCCTCTCAGGCAGAAAGGGAAGAAGATGAGTGGATAGTTGTTTTTAACTCAGTAGGATCAGTGATTTGAGAGGAGAAAGTGCAGATTGCTGGAATTGGTATTGCTGGGGAGAACCTTGCAGGTCCTGGTTCTCTACTACCTTATTATGAAGCATAAAATGAAGAAGGTAACATTTTAATTACAAAAATACACAGAACTTTCTCTAAAAGGACAGAGAGAATGGAAAAAAGAAAAGGGATGACATTTTTAAATTGTAACAAAACACTGGAACCAGATATTTGCTTTTGTCAAGATTTTCAGAAAGTCTTCAAAATAACCATTAGGTTATGGAAATTTTGACTTGTGTTTGGACATTCTGTAGAGGTCAAACAGCACATTGGCTTTCCTCAAATCAGAATCAGGATAGTGTCTCCAAAATCCAGATATTAAATCTCCACATTTGGACTGTGGTCTGAGATTCTGGCTGTGGAAACTCCTTTACTAATACTGTACTTTTTTTTTTTTAACTAACAGCTGCAGTTATGTACCAGGATTGAACTCTTTATTATTTTTTTTAGGAAAACGGATTTGTGTGGGAGAGGGTCTGGCCCGGATGGAATTGTTTTTATTCCTGACCACCATTTTACAGAACTTTAACCTGAAATCTCTGGTTGACCCAAAGAACCTCAACACCAACCCAGTTGCTAATGGGATGGTTTCTTTGCCACCTCAATACCAGCTCTATTTCATTCCTGTCTGAAGAAGAGCACTGTTAGGGTGCTGCTGTGCTGTCAACTAGTATCTTACTCCATCTCCTTTCTCCATGAGGGATACCTTCCTTCACCTCTCCTGTCACATCTGCTCCTCCTCTCACAGTTGTCCACTAAGAAGATCATCCTGAGTCACTACACAAATGTAACTGCTATTCCTGATGCTCTGTAAAAGTTGTACTGACCACCTCAAATGCTAATTATATGTATCTAAAGCTAAGTATTAATATTCTCTGATAATAAAGCAGTGAGATACTTCTCATATGACAATTCTGATCCATTTGTCCTCTGCTTGTTCTTAGTAAGAAGTATGCTTAATTGCTGGTCCCATTCTCAGGTTTTTCCTTTTTGCGTGGAATTCAAGTAAGTAGTGGAAGAAAATAGTAACCCAAACAACATGCTGTTTCACATATGATAAGCATAAATATAATGAGTAGGATGTTACAAGTCTTTTTGACTGTTACCTTGTGATCATAGAGGTATAGATTTGATCCAAAAATAATATTCAAAAGGAGTTTCAAACTGTAGGGAAATATCATGAGGACAAGTCACTGGGAAGAATAAAAATTATGTTTAGCACTTGTGACCCTGCTTTGGTGTGACTGTGAAAAAAATGAAAATTTGGTCTACAGTTTTTACTTCATTATCCATCTAAGAGCCAAGTATACATTAATGCTTTCACATTGGAAGACATATGACTTGAGTGTTTTCTTCATGTATTCTTAGTGTTACCTTTCTGCCCCAATAAGAACAAAATTCCCAGAAAGCATCCCCTTTTCTATTACTTTTCTATTTTCCACAAATTGTTGCATTCTGAGTATATGTGATAGCCTGAAGTTAGTACCCCAATTATTCTCCAGAACATAGACAGTTGAATATCTCCATATTACACATTCCCATAATTTATATTATTTCCTTCAGTCTTGAAATGTATTAAATGAGAAATGGCACCACTCTTTGCATTTCTTCATTTTCTCTCCCAGAGGAAGCCCCATTGTCGGGCAATATCAACCTACCATGTTAAAGTCTATGTGCACATATATATCTGTATACACAGAAGTACATAGACATCCATTCACACATAATATATATTGTGTATACACACATTATATATGGATAAATATTTATAAAATTGTGCTCATAGTATATAAACTTTGCACATGATTTTTTTTCTACTAAACACAATGCCAGAAAACACCTCAATATGATACAAACATAGGATGTGCTTAATTAGGTTTAAATTTTAGTAATTTTTACTTATGCAAAACACCATAAAAATTATATCTATTTATGGCATATCATAAAATATTTTGTCACATGCATACATTGTTTATTGTTTTCATTTGGGTAAACACATATAACTGGAATGTTAATCATGTCATTGTAGTAAAAGCATTCAAGCTCCTTTCCATTTTCTTTTCAATATATGCACTACATTTTCATTATCAGGTGACTCTCCATGTAATGCACACCACAATTTCTTACTTTTTTCTAACTGTAACTCTGTACCCATTAATCAACATCTCTCCATTCCTCATCCCATTCTACTCTTCTCAAATTCTGATAACAACAAATTTACTCTCAATTGCTATGAGATCAAAGTTTTAAATGTACATTCCACATGAATGTCATAATCCAATAATTCTTGTCTGTGCCTTGCTAATTGCTTTTAACAAAGAGTTACATGTCTGTTTATGTCATAAGCAACATTATATTTATATAGCTATATAATATTCTATTGTATACCTGTACCTCATTTACTTTTCCATACTTAAGAAGATTGGTACTTCAGTTGGTTTGTATATTGAGGGTATAGTGAAAAGTTCCATAGTAAACATGAGAGTGTAAATATGCTGCACTTCATAGTGGTTGATGTTCAATTGGATACATCCAAGGATTGGGAGTATTGGATCATATGATATTCCTATCTTCAATTCATGAAGAATTTACAGACTATTTTCCATACTAGATATACTCAGAGTTCCCATTCCTCCACATCCTTGCCACCACCATCACCTATTGTCTTTTTGGGAATAGCCATTCATAATGTGATGAGCTTATATCTCCTTGCTTTTTGATTAGCTCTCCTTTGACCAGTTTTAGAGCTACGATTTCATCACTAGATGGTGGCCTAAGTTTAGGTTTGCTATGAATCCTCTGCTGAAATGCTGTTCCTTTATCAAAAAAGCTGCTATCCAAGCCCAAGTACATAAGTCATACTTGCTACATGGTTTGGCATGAAATGGAAGAGTATCTAAGGAAGGTAGTCCTTCCTACAAGACCTCTGTGGGACCAAGATAAACACTGAAACATTGTCTAAGATCACAAGCCTGTGATTAAACACTGCAATTCTGACTCTAGGCAGAAGGACCATGAAAGATCAGCTCTAAACTTTTATGCTAAAGCTTCGTGTCAACCTCCATCTCTTCATCAAAATAGACATTTACACTTTTTGCTTTTTGCCTGGGTTAAGGGAGGAAGTCCCTATGTTGTCCTGTGGCTACTAATACCACAATGTTTTGTCATACCCTCAGACCACAGTGAGACCAGCGCAGTGCTAGGGTTGGATAAAGCTTAACCGTACTATGTGCTTGTGACTGTTGAGGAAGACTTGTGCTTCAAGAGCCCCATATGCAATCACAAGTGCTGCTGGCTGGAACAGAAATCTCATAGATAGAGGAAATGGGTTTCTACCTGGTTACATGGCTCTTCCAGAGTTGCTATCCTCAGGTATTACCCTGGTGTCAGCAGCCATTATGATATGGCTCATGTTAGGTGCCACAACCCTGACACTACTTCAAGGCAATGCCCTGTGCTTCTTACCCTGGCTTATGTCCAGTGAACAGACTTTTTCCATGCTAAGTTACCTTAATTATGATAGTGATTGTGAAGTCAAACACATGGACACCAAGGGTGACACTATGTTGATTTATATCTTATTCTCATAGCCACAAGTACGTCCAAGCCTGGCACTAGTTCAGTCTAAATATAAATCTTCCCCATTGAAGGCCGGGTCTTCTGGACTTTACAAGTGTAGAGGCTTCATCTGCAAGCTGTGGACTAAACATAGGGACTTTGTTTTTTGGTCATGGTTGTACTTCACTGAGTTTGACCCAAAACAAATCCAGAGCAAATTTTCTTGCTCTACACTTCAGCAACTGAATTGATGCTCGTCTCTTTCTTATCAGAATTTTAAGAAGTGAAGTTGGTGGCAGATCCTTGACTGCCAGGCTAATACACTTCAAGAGCCTTAGTACACAAGTGTATCAAAGGGCAGGAGTAAAAGAGATCCATTCACCAAGTGATTTCATCATGATCTGCCTTGTGCTGGTTTCAAGTCCATGGCTTGGAAATAATTCCTCACCCTTCCCCCTAGAAGGTATCTCTTTTCCTCCTTCCTGGCTTGGATTTGAGGAGGGTTGAGGCAAAAAGTTCATTCCTTCTTACTTCCTTCCATATTTCTTTTCTTTTTCTTATACTAAAATTGTTCTTCATCTGGATTCAACATAATATGTCTACAGGGAGATGCTCCCTGGAGGATCTTACTCATCCACCATTTTGATCTACCCTTCAAAACTGTATCTTAAGTAACATACTGGTAGCACCTACCATATTAGGAAAAGTTAATAAATTGATGAAAGGATGAAATTATGAATATCATACTCCATTAAGAGCATATTTGCAAAATACATAACTTATAATTCCTATTCCTTCCCTCCTTACTTTCTCCCTGCTTCTTAAAAATTTATTGGTGAAATTAACAATAGCTGTTTTATAGCTATATAGGAGAAATGATTTAAAGAATATTAACATATTTGGAGTCCTAGGTTCATCAGTTCATCCTTTTAAAAAAATTATTCATTTATTCACATGTGCATACATTGTTTGGGTCATTTCTCCCCCTTAACCCTGACCTCCACCCTCTCACCCCACCTCACTTCCAGGCAGAACCTGTTCTGTGCTTTTCTCCAGTTCCATTGAAGAGTAGAAATAATCAATAATAAGAAGTGCATAGCAATTTTGCTGGTTGAGATAAGAATAGCTATACAGAGAGATTCCTAGCATTGCTTTCATGTACAAATGTGTTACAACCCAAGTTGATTCATCTCTAACTGATCTTTACACTGGTTCCTGATCCCCTTCTCATGTTGATCTCTGTCACTTTAAGCTTTCTGTATTAATTCCTCTAGAGTAGGGACATCAAATGGTTTCATGTAAATAATTTGAAGTAAATGACATTCAGTGTACAAACATCCACTTCTCTATACACATGTGATTTTCAAATCTATGTATCCAAACAACAATAAATATCTAAACTATGTGTAATCATTCACAAAAGAATATTAGATAGTGCAATGGATGTCTATAAAATTCCTTAGAATAAAGACTCTTCATGTAAACCCAATTATAAACACAATGAGGTATAATTATATGCCTGTACATGCCAATACACAAATGATATTTTTAATTATATTCTTTTATTGTAATACCAAAAATTAGGTTCAAGAATGTTTATAACAGCATTATCCATAAAAGTTCCTAGTGGGAGTAACCCATATGTCCATTATACAATGGAAAAAGTTAAATTTGGTAATAGTCTTAAAACACTATTCATAAATCTTTCTGTTATTATTTACAAAATATGAATGCATATTAAAATATAATTTTAGGTAGTAACAGATAAATGTCATTAAGTTTATTTTATCCAAAATAAGATAATGTTGTTCTCTTACTGTTTTAAGTTTGAGTTTGTTCATTCAGATCTCAGAGCTCTATAATCAGGCAGCAAATTACTGCTTTTTTGTTCTGGGTAGAATTCATCAATATCTGAACATATGCAAGTCCTTAAAATTAAATTTTCTGTCCCCTCTATTAATCAATGGATTGTTCAATTAGTAAATCAACATTAATTTTCAAAGTCGCTGAAGACACATGAGATCCAGTCTGAACACTATCACCCTGCAGTTGATCCTTGGTCAAAGACACAGAG